AAACTTTTCCCTTCATTAACAATTGATAATGTTCTTTATGTCCCTAGGTCTCCTTTTAACCTGTTATCCATCAGTCGTCTAACTCGTTCTCTTGATTGTGTTGTTTCTTTTACCAACAATTCTGTATGTTTACAGGACCGGAGTTCGAAACAGGTGATTAGCACAGGATGTGAGTCTCATGGTCTTTATCATCTTCATCCCTTTACACATGTTGGTGCAGTTATAGAGTCTCTCTCTCTTCTCCATGCTCAGTTAGGTCATCTGAGTCTTGCCAAGTTACAGCAACTTGTCCTTGTCTTATCTAAATTGTCTAGCTTGGCATGTGAGTCGTGTCAATTAGGCAAACATAGTCGTACTTCCTTTCCTCGTAGTGTTACACGTGGTGTTTCGTCCCCTTTTGCCGTGGTTCACTCTGACATTTGGAGACCTAGCCGCGTTAAGTCTACTTTAGGTTTTCAATACTTTGTTACTTTCATTGATGATTACTCCAGATGCACTTAGTTATTTTTGATGAAAAATCGTTCTGAATTATTTCATATCTTTCAAACTTTTTTCAATGAAATTCAAACTCAATTCTGTGTTTCTATTAGAGTTTTGCGCAGTGATAATGGTCGTGAATATCTTTCTCATTCTTTTAAACAATTCATGGCTTCTCATGGTATTTTACATCAAACTTCTTGTGCTTATACACCTTAACAAAATGGTGTAGCTGAACGTAAAAATAGACATCTTATTGAAACAACTCACACTCTTTTAATTCATGGAGAGGTTCCTCAGCATTTTTGGGGTGATGCTCTTCTTACTGCATGTTATCTTGTTAATCGCATGCCATCTTCGGTTTTAGATAATAAAATACCTCATTCCATTTTATTCCCTCATGAACCACTTCATCCCTTACCTCTAAAAGTTTTCGGGTCTACATGTTTTGTTCATAATTTCAGTTCTGGTCTTGACAAGCTTTCTCCTAGATCACATAAATGTGTTTTCTTAGGATTTACAAGATCACAAAAAGGATACAAATGTTTTTCTCCTTCTCTTAACCGTTATTTTGTGTCTGCAGATGTCACCTTTGATGAGTTCTCTTTTTATTTTAAAAGTCAATCTTCACCTCTTTCTCCATCCAATCTTGTCAACACTCCTAGTACATTTAATGTTCCTGTTGTTTGTGGCCCTCTAACTGTGTCTTCTTCACCATTAGTTTTTACTCCGCAGTCAGCTTCTTCTTCACTGCCTCTTCAGGTTTATAGTTGCCGAAACCAATCACAACCACAACCATGTGACTCTACTCAAGTGCCAACTACTCTGTCTCCTCCGGATGTGACACCTGAGTCTGACCTTCCCATTGCCCTCCGAAAAGGTATCCGTTCTACACGTAATCCCTCTCCCCATTATATTGGTTTGAGTTATCATCGACTGTCATTACCTTTTTATACATGTCTTTCCTCTCTTTCTTCTGTGACCATTCCAAAAACTGTCCGTGAAGCTTTAGCCCATCCTGGTTGGCGTCAGGCCATGTTAGATGAACTAAGTGCTCTTCATAATAGTGGAACTTGGGAATTGGTCTCGTTACCGTCTGGGAAATCTGTTGTTGGTTGCAGGTGGGTGTTTGCTATCAAAGTTGGACCTGATGGTACTATTGAGTTGGATTATGGAGATACCTTTTCCCCTGTGGCAAAGATGACTTCTGTTCGTTTATTTATCGCCATGATCGCTCTTCAACAATGACCTCTTTATCAATTAGATGTTAAAAATGCTTTCCTCAATGGTGATTTGCAAGAAGAATCTATATGGAGCAACCTCCTGGGTTTGTTGCTCAGGGGGAGTCTTCTGGGATGGTATGTCGTCTTCGCAAATCCCTATATGGCCTAAAACAGTCTCCTAGGACCTGGTTTGGAAAGTTTAGCAAGGTTGTTCAACAATTTGGTATGACTCAGTGTGAAGCAGATCACTCTGTCTTTTATCGACACTCAAGTGCTGGATGTGTTTACTTGATAGTATATGTTGATGACATCGTTCTTACAGGTAGTGACAACCATGACATCTCTCAGTTGAAACAACATCTTTGTCACCATTTTCAGACCAAAGATCTTGGCAAACTTAGATATTTCTTGGGTATTGAGGTGGTAGAGTCCAATGATGGTATTGCTATATCTCAGAGGAAGTATGCCACGGATATTTTGGAGGAAACTGGGTTGATGAATTCAAAGTCTGTTGATACGCCCATGGATCCCAATACTAAACTTCTACCAAATCAGGGGGAGCTTATACCTGATCCTGAGCAGTATAGAAGATTGGTTGGAAAATTGAATTATCTTACAGTTACTCGTCCTGACATTTCCTTTGCAGTCAGTGTGGTAAGCCAATTTCTTAATTCCTCATGTGAAGATCATTGGAATGCAGTCATTTGTATCTTAAAGTATATTAAAGGATCTCCTGGAAAAGGATTGTTATATGATTCTAATAACCATACAAGAGTTGTTTGCTACTCAGATGCTGATTGGGCAGGATCTCCTTCGGACAGAAGATCTACATCTGGATATTGTGTCTCTATTGGTGGTAACTTGGTCTCATGGAAAAGTAAGAAACAAAGTGTTATGGCAAGATCTAGTGCAGAAGCAGAATATAGAGTTATGGCCTCAGCTTCTTGTGAACTTGTTTGGCTCAATCAATTACTTAGAGAGCTACAATTTGGAGATGTCACTCAAATGTCACTTGTGTGTGACAATCAGGCTGCTCTTCATATTAGTTATAATCCTGTCTTTCATGAGAGGACCAAACACATTGAGATTGACTGTCATTTCATTCGAGAAAAGATTATGTCTGGAGACATCAAGACTGAGTTTGTTAACTTAAGTGATCACTTAGCAGATATTTTTACTAAATCTTTACGGGGTCCTAGAATTGATTATATTTGTAACAAGCTTGGCACATACGATTTGTATGCTCCAGCTTGAGGGGGAGTGTTAGATATTGTTTAGATATTATTTGATATTGTTAAGATATTGTTAGATATTGTTAACCACAATATCAAACAATATCTTCTGTTTATTTTGTTACTTTCAGTTACTCTTTTAGTTGTATCTCTCTACTATAAATAGACTACCCTATGTATGATTTATACACAAGGGAGATTAATCTCAAGCTCTATTTCTTCTATATTCAACACTTACTACAATTGAAGCACTCAACATTTGAGTCCTTCGTTAACCGACCTCTTCTCGATCCACATCCTTTTCTTCGCTAGTTCTTTTGAGCCTCTTTTTCCTTTTCGTCACCTCAGCCTTGACCAGACCAACTAGATCGACCACCTCGAAACCAACCACCACATCCTTGTCCTCATCCTTTATTATGGGAAAATAGTGTCTTCTTCTTCTTTGACTCTGCCTTCAACACTTGTATAGTCGTATCCTCCTTCATCTTCTTTCTCCAAAATGGGCTTCAAGCGAACTAGTAAGTTCCTGAAACGTGAGTTTGGTTAGAATCCGAGACTCTTCAATGGCACAAACTTTGTTCTCAAAATCGTTGGTTAATCATCTTAAAATTTTCTGCACAATCTGATTCTCACAAATCGTATCTTCATCCTGATTGAGTTCATTCGCCACAGTTTGAACCCGGGTGATGTACTCGGAAACAGATTCTGAATCTTTCATTCTCATGCTTTCAAACTCGCCATATAGAGTTTGCAAGCGAACCTGTTTGATTCGATTATCGCCCCTATATGTTGTCTCCAACGTCGTCCATGCCCCCTTTGCAGATTTAGCATTTATGATTTTCTAGAAATCGGTGCCCTCTACAACTCAAAACAGTTTGAACATAGTTGTATTGTCTTTCTCGCGATTCTTGTTCAACTTTCTGAGTGTGTTGAGCGCCAAATCGTCCGTGCACTCAGGTTCTACAAAACCTTCCTCTACTATTCCCCAACAACTCTGGACTTTTAAGAGAGTCTTCATCTAAACACTCCAGTTCTCATAACCGACCTCCTTGGTCAGTCGGGGCACAACAACAACATTTGTCAAACCAACCATCTCATTCAAACCTTAGCTCTCATGTTTTCCGAAAAAAAAAAACTTTGGCTCCTTTCCCAAAACCCTAACTCTTGATACCAATTTCATAACAAAGAACTTTGCAGAAACAATGAAACTATATATTATCGATCCCTTGTCATACCTTAAATGAGAAATACAAATAGTGTTTATACACAGTCCCAAGGTATTCCCAAAATCAAATAAAAACTATCCAAAATAACAAAATATTTCAACTGACTCCTAATTATCTTTTCGTTATCTTTTATCCCAACAGAATCTAAAACTGATTATTTAATTTTAGTGAACAAAAAACCCAACAGTTTTGTACTCTATTAATAGTTTTCCCCATGAAGAAAATCCATGTATCTGGTTTTCTTAACTTTTCATGTTGGTCTGCTGTGTATATATATGCCTTCAATGGAATAAAATCACCTTTTACTTGTATAAGACAGCAATACTTGTTTTTTAGTATCCATAATATATTTCAGATTTTTTTTGTCATGTTTTTAGATGTTCTATTTTGGCCCGTATTTGTGGTGTCTGCGTTGGCAGTAATAGTTTCAAGTCAGGCTGTCATTGCTTCAACATTCTCAATAGTCCAACATTGCCATGCATTTGGATGTTTCCCACGAGTTAAGGCAGTGCAATCTAGAAGGTGGATCCCTGGTCAGACATATATACCGGAGATAAACTGGATTCTTATGATAATCAGCTTGGCTGTGACAGTTGGTTTAGGAGACATGAACAGAATAGGACATGCTTATGGTAAGTTGGTAGAACACCAGTTGGTAGATTGGAGCATAGTAACATTAGATCACAAAATACAGTGAAGTTTGTTGTTCCAAAGTCATATACTACTACAGAGATGAATTCTTTCTCCAAATTACATAAATCAGAACAAATGTCTTCCCTAATTCCCCCATTACACACAAATTTAATATTATGTATTTGAAGCTTCTATCCTAATCTGTCAACATGAAAGTTACAATGCAAGGTAATGCATTACTGCTTTTGTTAATTTTATTTTTTATTACACAATTTAAAATGTTACTTCTGCTAATAACTGTTATAACTGCGCCTAACCCTCGGTTCCCATCATAAATTGTGTAAAAACAATCATATTTAAAATATCTATTATCTAATTAATAATAGTTCGTGGGTTTCTTTACATTTCTTTTATCCAATAGGTTATTAATTTCAATATTATTTGATTTGGAAATATGATTGAATTATGGTTCATTGGCGTTATTAAAAGCTTTAGATTCTCAATATACAATGCCTTCTATTTCAAAAATAGGTAAACCCTTTACTGAAAGTGAGAATTCACATAATTTTGATCCACTGTCTGCATAAGATATCTTTAAATTGTCATTCAATCGGGTGGTACAACATTATTTAAAAAAGTTGACTATGATATTAGCTTCCCAAGTGTTTAAGCTTTTATTATGATCTAGCAACACAATATTGAATGCTAGGGTAAACGTTACGCTTACAGTTAATCGAAGTTAAACTTATTTTACACGATTGCTTACGTGTTGTAGATGGTTCAGCTATTGTTTGTGAAAATAGACTGATGATCTGGGTCATTTTATCATTCACTACTGTTTTTCAGCTGATGATTCTTAATAACGTCATCCCCTTTTGTTTGCAGGGATTGCATATCTGATTGTGGTGTTTGTGACCACATGTTTGACATCACTTGCCATCAACCTTGTATGGAATCAAAATCTTATAATTGCTCTGGCGTTTGCTTTATTCTTTGGTTCGATAGAGATTCTCTTCCTGTCATCATACAGTGTGAAAATCCTTAAAGGTGGCTGGATACCGCTCGTGCTTTCTGCAGTCTTCATGGTTGTTATGTATGTGTGGCATTATGGTTCTAGGAAAAAGTATTTATTTGACATGCATAACAAAATTTCAATGAGGTCGATCCTTGCATTAGGTCCTAGTCTTGGGATTGTTAGAGTTCCTGGAATGGGCCTTATATACACTGAATTGGCTACTGGAGTCCCTGCCAGTTTTACTCATTTTTTGACAAATCTGCCAGCTTTCTACCAAGTGGTTGTTTTTGTTTGTGTAAAGACCGTACCTGTGCCTTGTGTGCCACATGAGGAACGATACCTTATTGGTCGAATTGGTCCCAAATCTTACCGATTGTATCGATGCATTGTTCGAAATGGCTATAAAGATGTATACAGTCATGCAAATGATTTTGAAAATGACCTGGTGATGAGCATAGCAGAATTCATTCAATTGGAAGCTGAAGGTTGCTCTGGACATGCAGAAGGCTCAGCGGATGGACGGATGGCAGTGGTTAGGACATCAGGGAAGTTTGGGACACGATTGCTAATGTCAGAATCTGCCGGTTTTGGGGAAGGAAGCAATATTAGTCTTCCTGGAACTTTGACTGTTACTAGCAGTAAATCTCCAACATTGAAGGGGCTGCAGTCCATGTATGAGCGGGAATCGCCTGAAGTCAACACTGGACGACGAATTCGGTTTGAGTTGCAAAATGTAACATATAAAGACTCACGTGTCAAGGAAGAACTCATGGAACTTGTAGAAGCCAAGCGCACTGGATCAACGTATGTAATAGGTCATTCTCACGTAAAGGCCAAATGGAACTCATCCTTTATAAAGAAGTTCGCTATCAACCTCTACTCTTTTCTCCGGAAAAATTGTCGATCACCTGTAGTAGGACTAAACATTCCTCGGATTTCTCTGATTAAGGTAGGAATGAATTATCATGTGTAGCATGAGTTAGTGACAGTGTTTTGACTGAGAATGGAATTTATGCGAGCCAGAAAAGAATGCCCCTTGGGCTTCCACGACTGGCAAAATTATGCTACGTTGGCGCAAATTCCACTTAAATGGATCTCTTTTAAGAGTCTCCTCTTGGCATGTGTAGAAAGGGGGGCATCAAATTGCCAATTTCTTTTGATTTTGTGATGGGCCTGGCGAGGTATGTAAATTGCTAAATTGCTAAATTGGTTGATAAAGGAGTTTTATGCAAGGTCATGTACCTGTTTGTTGAGTTTTAGCTTTTACCCAAATACACTTTGGAATCACGATTGTCTTCTCATTTCCCCTGTGGTTTTGTTGAATACGAATTTTCGTGTAACATCTATTATTGTTGCCTTTTGTACTTCTACTTTCTGTTTTTTTGCAATATTTCTTGACAGTATATATATAAGACTAGAAAACAAACATCAATAATTTGAGAATAAAATTAAGAGACTAAAACATCAAGAGTTTAGGAACACAATGAGTAGCTAACAACATTAATGTTTTATTTTCTTTATTTATAGTTAAGCTCCCCTCTTGTTTTTTGAAGTCAAAATTTTGAGACATTTTGTTTTATTTATATATCAGTACAAAGTTTTCTTAATTATTCCTTTTATCAATTATAATTTTGTGATTTCTAATTTAAAATAATTCATATGTTTGGTTTAGATACTATTTTTATCAAATATAATTATTTTTATCAAATATGATGATTTAGATAGTCTTATTTTCAGAGTATTTAAAAAAAAAACTTTGATACTTTGTCTGGTGAGATTAATAGTAAAAAAATGTTTGAAGATATTAAGATGAAAAAGTTTCCAAAATTTATTGTGAAATTATTATAGAAATAACGTGCCTTTATATTATAGAATGATATTGATATTTTTTTATCATCATATTCTTCTAGTCTACATAATAATATCCAAGACTCTTATTTATTTAATATTATTTTAACGATTAAAATTATATAATTGAATTGACTTGATGCTAATGTTATTGATATTTAGATATTTGTTAAAATGCTCATATATTGGTTTTACACGGTTGGATTGCCCTTCCTGTGACTAAGACAAAAATTTTACAATTTTTTTTTAAAATGTTATTCCAAGTTTTTCTAATTCAATATTCTTAAGTTTAGTTTATTATAGTGTAAAACATTCATAATAAAGAATGGTTCTAATGTCATGTATATCTTAATATTTGAAGTTGATAATGTCACATTGATTTAATTTAAACATTCTATCTAAAAATTTATTCCAATATTAAGGTTGGCTAAGTGTTTATTTACCTTAACACAAATAACATATTTATATAAGAATCCCTATTTGTATAAACAATTCACTTAATTTTTTTCAAATTTTTTTATCAAATAATTTTAATTATAATGTACATTTAATTCCATTAGTCTAAATGTTGAGAACAAGTTATTATCCTAAACACTTTCCACACCACTCATTTGCTCGGATCCTCTCGTTTACTTCTTCAATTTTATAATTTATTATTTTAAACTCTCAATATTCATATTTATTTTTATCTATTTAAATTAATATTTAAAAAGAAATCATATAACGCAACAAAACTAATTCCACTGTTTAGTTTTATAATTTGATAGAACTAATCTTATAAATTAGCTTTCAAATTATTAAAATACATATCTAAATTCACACACATATCACGTACTGTATTTATTTAAACCATAGATTTGCCATTTAAATAGTACGATAACGAATTTTTTATTAGTTTGGTTGGTAAATATTAAATACATTTTGGATGGTAGAATCGCATTCATAATATAAACCTACCTAACCGCACTACAGCGATGATTTTCTTTGGATGTATGTGAACTCCATTTACCCAACCCATTCAGATTTAATAGAATTTGTGAACCCTAATATTCCCAATTTCCCATTGGTTATAATTGCCAGGTTCTGCATCAAATCTGGTGAGTAAGTAAAAATTGATTTTTTCTTCCCCGAAACCCTCGTACATTTGCTGGGTCAGAATTGAGCACCACAACGACAATGGTTCATAGTTGGGGGTATACCATTTCAATAATTCGAATCAGACTTTCTCTCTCCTTGGATGGAACAAACTAGAAGTGGGAAGAGAATTTCAATTCAGTTTCTCATAGCTACCTCCTTACCCCGACCGTAACAACCAAACCCCAAATATTACACCCTTTTTGTTGATGTAAGGGTCTAATTTGGAGGGCGGTGATTAGGTTTTTTAGCCCTGAGGGTTTATAAATGTTGAGTACCTCTTCTTATTCTGCCTTTGCCCGCTCCTTTCTTCCGATTAAGGGTTTTCCCCGACCCGTCGCACTTCGTCCTTTTCCTCGGATTTTGGAATCCCATGCCAAGTCTCCCAAGAACGTAAGCATTATGTGATATTTGTTGAAACTCGTATTCTTTCTTTTTCTCTTTTATTTCTGTTTCTGTTATTTGCCATTGAAAGTATTTGGTGTATTTTTGTTAAGTGCCGCGAAGGAAACTAAGGATTTGGAAAAGTTCTTGGCTTTTTGTCCCTAATGAACCTGGCAATCTGAGCCCTCTGTAATTCGTTGTTTTGTGGAGGTTTAAATTCTTGAAACTAAGTCAATAGCTTTATTGTAGTGGAAGTGGGGGCTGATCGATGAGTATTCTTTTGCTACATGCTTATGTATACCCGGAGTAATTGTCTGCACCAGTTTTGCTTTGCTGTTTTCATATTTTTTGGGCTTTCCTTGCAGAGGTTGAGTATTCTGTGCTTTAGGCACGATCATCTTTCTCCAGAAACACCCCAACCTGAAGTTATAGAGCACTATCTTCATGAGGAATTGGTGCAATCTGAATTCAGTGACTCCAGTGTTGTCACGAAAAGAGACTGGAAATCAGCCGTCCAGAAGGTCACTTGTCTATTGTGTATTAACAAATGGATTTCCATTTTGTATGTCGATGTGTTGTGTGGCAATTTAAAGTTTGGTAGTCATATTAAATAATATATGTGCTATTAAACGAAGTAGAAATCTGCAATTGATCCCTACCGTCAAGTAAAATTCACTAATACTAACTTAGTCATGATAGTTTACATTGGGTTTCACTCATGAGAAGTAAATTTTGAGATGGTTTGATGTAAGTAATTCATATCTATGTTTTAAATTAAGATCTAAGTAATTATTTGGTATGATCTGCAGTTAAATGTTCTATTCTGTACCCCTAGTGATAGATTGTAGTTTGCTTTTGCTAAATGTGCTTAATATCTACAAATTAGAGGGTTACCTGCATTCCATTGGATAGGTGATACTTGAAAATAATACAAACGCTTCTAGATTAATTGCTTGAGGACAACTCTCTATATATCTATATTTATTATATGAACAACTACAATCACAACCCTTGATTCCAAGGATTAAAACTAGATTAGTAAAAAGGAAAATCTATGAATAGTAAATGTCTAACTTCGGTAGCTAATGATATTTAATTAAAAATATTCAACATTATCCCCGAAGCTAGACCTTATAAATCACATGCTTCCATCTTTTTAGTTGTCACATAAATACCATACCAAGGCCATCCAAAGAAATTTGGTGAAAATGTTTGCTAGTTGCATACAAACCATTCGCGAGATCACTTTGTAAGAAGGCAATCTTGATATCAAGTTGATGAAATGATCAATGTTGAGTGGCTGTTGTGAAAAGGAAAGTGGAACAAAAGTCATTATAGAAACAAGGCAAGTATTTTGTGTGTCAAATGCTCCATCATGCCCCACTTTAACTTGTAGCAAACAGTCCATAGAAAAATTTCCAAGTGGTTGGTGGAACAACTTCACAAATGCCATTTTGCGAGTATTGGGATATCTCTTTTATCATGTCTTGGCTTCATTATGGGTGAGAGAAAGCTTCCAATATTGTTTTTGGAACAGACATTGACAATGGACAAAGAAGTATAGGCATAATAGGAAGGAGACTGACAATGATAAATAAATTATCAATAGGATTTGGATTGTGAAAGGAATGAGTACCTTTTCATACAATGATTAAATGAGAAGATATACTATCCTTTGGATCAAGATCTAATGAAGAGTCAATTGTGCTGCTCAAGAATCATTGGGCTATGTCCATGTAATGTTGCTCAAGATAGATTTACTTAAGAGTAAATAAAAGAGAAAAAAAATGTTTTAGAGGTCTTAATCACACCTCCCATGTGATTTCTTATTTATAACGATAAAGTACAAATACAATGAGTAGAGAGAAGATCAAGGAACTAAAGCCTGAGCTAAAAACCTAAATACAGGTATAGTTACAACTCATAGGTGCAACATAAAACAACTTTTTAGTACAACTACATTCAATCTATTTATTCCAACACTCTTCTTCAAGCTGAAGTATATAGATTGTTGTACCAAGCTTGGACCAAATGAAGTCAAGTCGAGGTCCCCTTTAAAGGACTTTGTTAACATATCTGCAAGTTGATCATTGCATCCAACAAACTTAGTACAAATCTCCTTTGACATCAACTTTTCTTGAATAGAATGACAATCAATCTCAATGTGTTTAGTTTTCTCATGAAATATTAAATTAGAAACAATGTGAAATACAACTTGGCTATCACAATACATCTTCACGGTCTAGATCTCACAGAAGTTAATCTCTTGAAGGAATTGTTTTACCTATACAAGTTGACAAGTAAGCGATGTCATTGCCCTATATTCGACTTTAGCACTTGATTGAGCCACTACATTTTATTTCTTACTTTTCCTAGAAATAATATTTCCTCTAAGGAAAACATAATATCCTATAGTAGAGTGTTTGTCAGTAGGGGATCCAACCTTGTTTTGTCATTAGTTTTTGATTTGGGTCTATAAGATTATCTACTAGTCTACAATCAATCATACTTGTCTCTCGTAGGATATCTAGTGCATATTTCTTTTGAGATATTACAATATCTTCTTTTGACTAAGCTACTTTAATACCCAAGAAGTATTAGAGACTCCTAAGATCCTTGGTTTGAAAATGCTTACACAAATGTTCTTTTAGTTGAGATATTCTAGCAATCATTTTCTATAATAAGTATATCATCAACATATATTATTATGTAGACACATTTAATAGGAGAGGTATAACAATGAAAGATTGAATGATCTACTTCATTTTGTTTCAGCCCAAAGGATTGCACAATGTAGCTAAATTTCCCAAACCAAGCTCGTGGAGATTGTTTGAGACCATAAAGAGAGTGAATGACGTAACTTACAAACCAAACCAAACCAAACTCCCCTTAAGCAACAAATCGAGAAGGTTGTTCCATGTAGATTTCTTCCTCAAGATCTTCATGAAGAAAGTCATTTTTATTATCCAACTAATGAAGGGGCCAATGATGAATAGTTGTCATGACAAAGAATAGACGGATATTAGTCATTTTGGCCACTAAAGAGAAAGTATCACTATAGTTAGGACCATAAGTTTGGGACGATGGCTGGTGGTGAACAACGACAAAATGTTAATATGTAAGAGCATGAGTGACCGTTAAAGTAATACTTCAATTATGGAACAAATAATACTTACGCGGCTAGAGGGGAAACAATGGCAATTTCTTAGAAAAAAAGACAACTTTTTGGCAACTAACATCTATGGACACTAGAAAATGGCCAAGTTCAGGGAATAACAATGTCCCACTTGTATGGTAGGAAGGAAATACATAGGTGAAAAATAAGTGAGAAATAGAATGGATTGGATTAGATAAGAAATACAATTAAAACAAAAGTGTTTGGTTTAACAAAAATGGGGAAGAAATAGGCAAAATATAAGTAGGTGGAGGATGGAAATAGGTGAGAAATATTTTTGAAGATGACTAGTAGACCCCACACCTTTTATTTCCCGCCTATTTTTTTCTCTCCACCCTATTTCTCTTCTATCAAAAGGGATGACCAAGTACATCCCAAGAAGTCATACTTAATTGATCAAGCAGATAACTTGTTTATCCCTTGTGTATGGTCCTGTCCAAAGAAGTATAGCCTAAGGTGCATAACTGGAGAGAATAGACTCTTTAGGAAAGTAATTTGATTTTGCAAGATTGTAAATAACATTTGATTGACGAGATAACAAGATATTAGAAAGTGGACATAGTCCTAATTTCAATTTACAAAACCAACTTTTATGTTGAGGTTTACACCTCACTAATATATTGTAATTAGATTTATATTTTTAGTCGATGTGAGATTTCCATCATACCCTCTTATAACAAGGATTTGATATTTCAAACACGAAGTTAAATATTTATGGGATTTCTAGTCAACCTCCCTCACATGGACGGATATGAGTGATTCTCAACATACCTTTTTATATCAAGGATATGGGTAGTCCAATTGTGATTGGTGCAAAGGTCCCAACAAACATCGATAGGGTAAGCTCTAGTACCATATTAGAAAGTAGATATAGGACCTAACTTAACTCTACAAAATTAACTTTTTAAGTTTAATTTTACACTTCACTTATATATACTATAATTTGATCATGTCTCTAATCTATGTGAGATCTCCCATAGTAGTAATAGATGCGAACAATTTCTATTAAGTAGCTATGCTTGGCAACTACATTTTTGCTGTGGAAGGTGTACACTAGAAGATTGATGGAGAATATCATGTGACATTATGAAGGATGAGAAAGTCACCAAAATATTCACTAGTATTATCATGATGCAAATTGAATGCAGCAAATTTAATGGGTGTATTTAATTGTGTATGGATTTTGAAACAAAGGACTTGAAAAAAGTTCGTATCTTCCTTTCATTAATATAACCTGGTGCAAGAATAGTTATCAATGAAGGTAACAAAATTATTGAGATCCCAGTACCACATTGACTATTAATATAGCCAAAGTAGAGCTTATAAAGGCTTTGACAATCATCTGAATGAATAACAGAAAATGGAGACACCACTCTCAGTTTTTTACAACTAGGAAAGGAAGAGCAAACATACTTTTTAGTTGACGAGTTTGATGCTCCAAATTTTTAAACCTTGATTGACTTACAACTGTAGCTTGAAGCTTGGACAGGTTGGGATGTCCTAATGACAATGGATCAACTTTGAAGACCCAACAATGGCACATGAACCAGTGAATGTGGTACATTTACCTGGCACAGTCCTTAAGATTTGCATCTGGCATAAATTCTGTTCTGTTTCCTGATCCTACATAGTGACAAACTGACAAAGTAAGCTGAAAGGTTAGCAAACAATTAAGTAAACCAGTGAGTTGATAAAACAAGTCAAATTAGAAGGACGGTTAGGAGCATAAATAACTGATTTTAGTGCTGAAAGAAGAGTATCCTGACCCATCTATTTAGCAAAAGTTTTAGATTCATGAGCCAAGACATAGATGGAAGAAAAGCAGGTTGTTCTAACTTAAAAAGGGCAGAACCGCAGAAGTACTAGAAACGTGGTTAAAACCAGTGACATCAAAGATCCATGAACCAAAAGAAGAATGAGAAATACAAGTGATAAAATTACCTAAATATGCAACTAAAGCAATAGAAGTAAAGCCTAGTTAAATGCTTGGTACTTTGAGGAAGTTGTTATAGCCATTGCTTGAGACATAAATATCTTGTTATTACTAGAGGGAGCTTCAGAAGTATTATCAGATCAAATCACATTGGCATTTAGCTACCTTGGAGTAATACTGTGAAGGACATAAAATCAATCTTGGGTATGACCCACACAGTTGCACTGATGGAAAAGTCAGGTACAACTAATAAGAATCTTGAGAGAACCTCACCACAAAAGCTAGCTATTCTATTGTAGTTAGAGAGTCCAAGGCCTCATCAAACACCCCTGCTAGAATCTCTCGCAATTAGATGTTAACATTCCACAATGCTCTATGGCTCTGGTGCCCATGCATTAATGCTAGTGTCACCACACAGGCTGCTTGTTTGCAGCTGAGAGAGACATGGTTGAAGGCTGTGATACCAATTGAGCAGAAAGTTGGAAAAACCACACCACAAAACTAACAATCCTAGCCTTTGTAGCAGCTGGAAGAAAAAAGGAAGCAGAGCTGTGAAACTGACAACCAACTTAAAAAAAACAGAGCGGGCTCTCAAACTTTTCTCTGCAAGAAACAGGAGTAAACCCAAATCTATAAACTATAGTATTACTAATCTTGTAAGAAATACTTTAAATTAAACAAAACTAACAGCAGCTAAACATAAAAATTCCTAGATTACATTATCGATTGAAACTGTCAAATAAATACCCCTAAATTATTATGCTATTGTAAAGTGATGAAATAATTCAGCTTGCTCCATTTTAGTTAGTCATGAATGGCATGGCGGATTTATCTCCAATGGACCGCATAGGAAGTCATTGAAGGTAGGTACATTGTGGTGGCACCATAGGCCACAATGTCATGATTTTATAGTGGAATTTTGGCCTTTCGTTATTTTCACCATAACATTCTTGAGCCCTAAATTTGAAACTGAACTAAAATATTGGAATGGTTTGATATGTAAACTTGATGCTTTCTTGATTTTAGTGCATCTGCATCATACTTGTTTGTAAGTTAAAATCTATGAAGCTTTAGATGTTCATTGCATGTGTAAACATGAAACATGCATCAATATAATCACAACGGAGTATTGTACAATATTGTTAATGAATAAAATCTTATATTATAAGTGATATCTTACATGTGAATCTGTTTACCAAAATATTCGTTTTCTTTTCAGGCTGCAAATGAAGTATTTAAGGTAATTGGGTATCCATGGGTTGTGCCATGGACTGCAATGACTATATTACAAGTAAGTGTTTACCAAACTTCGAATAAGATGTGACTGAGTAGATTTCTCTTACATATTATCAATTCCTCGCAGTTAATGGTCCATGTGATATGAGTGGAATGGAGATACAATGGTTGTTGACCCAATCGAGTATAGTTCAAAGTCTAGACAATAAATGGTCAATTTGAGGGTGTAACATGCAACATTATATCATGCAGGTTATGCTTCTTTGGACGACCGCATTTTGGTTTATAGGATCTTGGATGATTCCTTTTGCAGCTCATATAACTGGCTTTAGCAAGGAGTCTTTAACATTTAGAGGGCAAGCACTATTCAGCCTCGTCACAGATGTAACTGAAGGGCTTGCTGGAGTTGCAATTCTTCTTCGCTGTCTTTCTCGGTTCCGCCCTCTTCCACCTGACTGGTTTAGGTTTAGCCTAAAAGGTAATTGGCAATTAGATGTCATCATGGGATGTCTCTTGTTTCCGCTAGTCAATCGGTTGTCACAGTTCAACCTAGACCTACTACCCCTTTTACCCTCTACACCTGTTACCCTTTCAAGTGTTGAACAATCAATAAGGGCAAGGGATCCTGTGGCAATGCTATTGTATGCAACAGTTGTATCCGTATGTGCTCCTGTCTGGGAAGAAATAGTTTTCCGTGGTTTTCTACTCCCATCCCTCACCAAATACATGCCAGTGTGGTGTGCAATACTGGTAAGTTCAATTGCCTTTGCGCTTGCACATTTCAATATACAGAGGATGCTGCCCCTTATATTTCTTGGCATGGTGATGGGTGTGATATATACAAGGTCAAGGAATTTACTGCCACCAATGCTGTTGCACAGTCTTTGGAATGGTTTTGTCTTCTTAGATTTGATGAAATAGCTTGTTCAAAGTTGTGATTCTCTATCAGGGAGTCCTTTGTGTAGGTAGAAATTGCAAGCACTAGCATGCTGGCTTATGCTTTGATCAGCATCTTCAGAAGTAAATGCGCACTGGAAAACTACCTCGCTGACCAAGTGCATGTGCATGTGCTAGGAGTAACATGAGTTGATGTGCTCTTACAATTGTACATTGTAAAAAACAGCGCCCCTCATTTGTCCATATTGTGCTGATATAACAATCTATTTATTGAGTAGTCCTCCCTCTCCTTTTTATTATAAACATTCATTTTGGCTCTTCCTTATGACAATGCTTATGCAGAAGAACTGGCTCCATAGTTGACCATTTAAATGTTTATGCTTTAAAGATTTTGGACTATGTGAATAGATGAAATGACGTACAATGAAATTAATATTTCTTCTTAAAATAAAATAAGGCAGAAGGAACTAAAGCATAATCAATTTTATTTTATTTAATTACACAGTTATTTTTCATTTTTTTAATTATTTATAAAATATTAGAAATAAAAATAACATATCTATCTACATATTTATATAATTATATATTAGAGATATTTAACAATATAAAAATAGTAATATGTTCTTTGCGCACATTAATGAAAGGTAATCCTCTTATTGTATGCGTACATAATGTTTTTATATTTAAAGTAATAAATAATTCTTTTAATTATCTTTTACAAGTGTTTTTCGATGATATTAAAATGATTTTCTGATGTTTATACGTTTAAGAGTTAATAGACAAGCTAGTTAATATTAAGTATTTAATGTGAAAAAATGTAAATTGAATGTGAAAAAAGAAAATGTAGGCAAAGTTTAAATTTCTTTATTCTTTAGAAAAATTTGTAATGATAAATTTTTAAGTAATCAAATGCTTTTATAAATTTCTAACATTTAAATTTCTTCCCATTGTCAATACAAACAACATATTTTGTTATAAAATATTTTAAATTATAAAAATTATCATTCAAATAATGTAAAAAATGAGTACATTAGATATTACAACAATGAATATTTTTAAAAATACTTACATATTAGATATTGCACTCATTATCAATTTCTTACATATTAATGTATTAAGTTTTAAGTATGGAACACTTCAATATTTCGACAGTATTACTCAATCACGTATTGTAGCATAATTAAAAGAAAAAACTATTATCAAATAATCATTACAATTTTATCTGTGATAATATATGTAAACTATTGTTCCTAACAACTTAATCAATTAAATCAAATGATTTAATTAATCAATTTAAGCTATTATTTAGTTAATTGATTATAATAAAACATGCAAAAGTTAACTTAATTATAAGTATACACATCATGAAAATTTCGTAAAAGGATCTATATTAGTTTTATTCTTATCGGAAGATATTTATGTTATTTTATAGATATTTTTTACTTCCTTTATAGTAAAATATATTTTCATTGAAATAATGTGGCAATTAATCTTAATTGTTTATTTTCTTCTCTTCACATTGTTTATTTCTCATTCCTTATTACTTGGTAGGCAACAAATGGTCTCTGTTGAAATGATGGTGCTACTTTGCATATCACATGCAATGCAGAGGTCACCAACCAAATTGTTGTAATTGTAGAAGATGATCATTTTTTTTATATATATACATAGGCAACTGTGCCAGTGTTGGAACACTTTGTCACAAGTTACAACACAAATTACAATTCCAATTTTCTGCAATTTCATCATCATGCGTTCGTGCATTTTCCTCCAACTTGCCCAATTGGGCTACAACTACTACAAATAGATACGTATTTTTTTTTATCCCCTTATAGAATATTGCTTTTATCATAAAATTACTTAATTACTTTTAATAAAACTGTTCTGATACGTTAAACAATATCACATTATTTAAGACTTGGAGACTATAAGGTACAGTAGTATATAAAAATACAACACTTTTTTTAAATCAGCAGAAACATATTTTTCAAAAACAAAACTGTGAAATTGAAACATAATCTTTTATTTTAACTATTTTTTATAAAACTCAAATATTAAATATTGTATAAAAAACTGAACTACTTATATAAATTAGTGATTAGTTATAAGAGTTAATTTGATTCATAAAATAATATATGGATTGAGAAGTGAATTAATTGAAATCAAACTTTACTTGTATTTTTTTTAATCACGGATGTGAAAAACCTAATTACATCTCATAATTAAAAAAAAAGTATTCATCATAATAATCCAGTTAATCAAATTTAGTTGATATCTATAATTGGTTAGGATAATTTCATCATGTGTACTTGTTTATAATAAAATCGAAAACAATTCTAATCTTTCGTCAGAAACTAAAAAAAAAACAAAAAAAAACAAGCAGATTTCTTTCTTCAAAGAAAACCTAAAATTCATTTTCATATAAATTAATTTCTAGAAGTTCAATCGAATAAGTTTTTTTTTAAATCAATAATTTAATTCATACAATTTAAAAATATTTTTTTAATTTTCTTCTTTATTCTTATTATTTCTACGAGTATCTTATTCAAACATACTCTATTATTTATTTATCTAGTACCTACGAAAAATAAAAAGCATACTAATGTAGTTTACGACGCTGATCCCGATCCAGTGATTCAGTGCCACCGAATAAGTGACGACCACATTCATCTGCATTTACACTTTCAAACAATATCTTTTGTGCTTATTATCTCAATGCAAAGTTTTTTTTTTTTTCAGTATTATTTGAATATACATTTTCAGTATTAATCATCGTAGTGCTAAAAATATTCAAAACAAAATATTTGCTAAAAAAGAGAGACTCTAAACATTGAAATAGGCAAATATTCAAGGTAACCAACATGTTTAAATTAAAAGGGATTATTACAACACATTTTTACGATGAAAAATTACAATATGTTAATAGAGAGTACTAGAATAAGATTATGTAAAAAATAATTATTTTATATATCTAATGTGGAAAAGAGTTTCTATATTTATAAAGGAATGTATTTTTTTATTTATTTCTCATGAAACATTTTCCTCTTTGAATCAATTTTATGTAACATAGTTTGTAGATAATTTATTCAAATTATATTTTTTTTGTCATAGTAATGTCTATTGATTATTATATGTTGAAAGAGGTACTAGCTATCTCTTACAAATTTGCACGTGCGTAAAGTTATAGGAACATTATTAATTTGTCTTCAAAATTACTATTATCTTTTAAAAAAAAAATCTTTGTAAGGTTAAGAGTGAAAAAGAGAGAGGTTAAGACATGCACTTTAATCCTAAGAAGAGAGATACTTCAAATAATAAATATTACTTGAGAGAGTAAAATTTTTTAGTAGTAAATCGTTATTGGTGAGATTTGACTATATTTAGAAACAATGGAGTATATACTGAAATGGTCAAAAAGTGATAATTAAAACTAATGATTTATAGATTTTTTATTGTGTTCATTTTTTTATTATTATAAAATTTATTTTTAACCAGCTGTTTTTCCACTAGCATACAATGATAATAATTTTATAAGAAAGTCTAGGTATAGTTGCCTTTAAACAAGGAATACATAGTAGTAATAAACAATAGTATATGTATACTTTTTCTTTCATTTTATTTGCAGCTTTTGAATATTTATCAAAATGGAGATACATGTTGAAGATTTTACAAGAACTTCATGGCGAAGAAAAGAAAGAGGAAGTATCCAAAGCAGAAATAATAAACAAAACCATCAAACCGACAAATAAACCGCCAAAAATAGGACACGTAACAGAGTGCACACATGAGTCACCAATCTTCTTCTTTAAAACCTCTACTCTTCCAACCCATGCCTGCATCACACCCAAGATCTTACTGATACATAAACATTCCACTTCCACCCTCTGCCGTTAACCACCACTTTGCAACAAAGACTGCATCAATATCAGTTATTGCACCCATTATATATTACACTTATACTACTTAGTTGCACCAAAACTCACAACTCCACCAATAACAGAAAGTTCAGTCTTTTGTGTCAAAGAGAAAGAATTGAAAGAGAGGGTTCCTCTTCTTCCTCTTTCTCTTTCTGTTTTTTCTATACAAGTTTTTGTTTTTGTTTTCTCCCAGAAAACTTCAAGTAATGGAACAGAAAAGCATCCTGATATCGGCTTTGGGTGTTGGGGTGGGAGTGGGAGTGGGGATTGGATTGGCTTCTGGGCCAAGCGTTGGCAAATGGGGAGCCAACACTTTTCCCTCAAACGCTATTACTGCTGAGAAGATGGAGCAGGAAATGCTGAGACAAGTTGTTGATGGAAGAGAGAGCAACGTCACTTTTGAGAAATTCCCTTATTACCTCAGGCATAACAGAACACAAACTCCTTCATTTGCTTCCTCTTTCAATATCTAATATGGTCTTATTATAAACTTAACCATTCACACACACAGTATGCAACTTTGCTTCTTTTCCTGTGATTAAGGAAAATCAGCATAATTTGATAGAATAATGGATAAGAACTAAGAAGAACTCCTTAGTCCTAACATATTGTATGTCACACACAGGTTAAGTTTATTTTCTAGATTAACCTTACACAAGCTTGTATATGGTGATAATATATAATTTGTGAGCAAATTTCATCTAATGAATTTGACACTGACTGACACTGACAAACTGTTTATACCCTTATTGTTGCTCTTGATCTTGATTAATCCTTTATTTCCATATATCTGAAGCGATAACTACATATTATTGATTGAAAATCTGTTGGAATATAACATCGTATGCGTGATAACAGTGAGCAGACAAGGGTTTTGCTGACAAGTGTGGCGTATGTTCATTTAAAGCATGCTGAGGTTTCTAAATATACACGTAATCTAGCTCCTGCAAGCAGAACTATTCTGCTCTCAGGGCCAGCAGGTTAATTACTTGCTTGGATATGCTATTTTCTATTGATAATGGATTTGATATTCTTTGATGTTTTTATTGCTGCTTCCAAGCTAAATGTATCTTCCACTTCTCCCTTTTTCATGTATTAAAGAACTTT